GTAGGCGCCTATATTTTATAGAATTTTACAAACTATGTATATGAACACTATTTCAAAATAAACAGTATCATTGAACATAATAAACAACTCTGCTATCATATGATACTTGGCTCTTTGCATTCTTTCACAGTTTCTCAACGTTCTATTCTAATAGATGTTTTTAATAACTTGTGGCTATGAAAATAGCCGTTTTTTTAAAATTCAACGCAGAACAGCTCATCAGTATGATTCTTCATGGTCCTACTTCCTAAAATAGTTAATTGCTTGTTAAAATTGATTAAATTGTTAATTAACCAAAATTATGAGATTGCCTAACCAAAAAAAAATCTTACCTTTACCTTAAAAATTTTACCTTTATTTTAAGCAGTTATCAGAAGAACTGTCACTTTGCTGTCTTAAACTATTTTGTAGTTGTTCTCTTTATATCAATGAATAAATCTCGAAACAACTTAATCATTCTGATATCCAAGTTTAAAATTCTCCCTGTCACAATCGGGTTATTAAAAAATTTGCGAGCAACATTTCCAGTATTGGTTGTTTCACATCCTTTCCTGACAAAAGAAACCCTTATATTCAGTTGTATCTTAAATAAATGCTGGAATTTTTTTTTGTTTTCAATAAATTCTTTACTCTTTTGTGATAGAATATTTCTTCTTTGCTTAACAGCTGGGAGTTTACAAGCAGTATTGAAAATCCACTCCATACAGCGCATCCATAGATGAAGACTGCAAATTCCAAGTTTCAAAACATGCTTGTTTAAATTAATATTTTTTTTCCAAATAGTTTTCAAGTTAAACTCCTTAGAATTTGCAAGGTATACATGGCAGGACTGAGATGAAATTTTTTGCATCGCATATTTGATATAACAGCGTTTATTGTTTTGCCATCATTCATTGTGGTATAAATAGTTGACAAACTAGACTTTACTACAAAGTACTTTCACCAAGTTTAAATTCAATATTCTTCAATAAAAAAATTTCATTTTTCAAATGTTCAAATTTTTCCTGAATAAAACTAGCAGTCTTTTTTGCAAAACAAAAAAGAAGATGACGGGTTGCATTTGGACTATTTGGAATTAAATTTTTCCATATTATTTTTTCTCCACTTCGGATTTCCAGCAGTATAAACATTATACTATACACAGAGCAATCATCTACACCTCTTTTCATAGTTGCTGAATTTTGAAACTCAGATTGATCACTTTGACCATCACCTCCTACTTTGCAAATAATTTGTACATTATCACGCTCTTCTTGTGATAAACTCATTATGCAGTTACTTTCATAATCCAAAAGATATTCAAACACTCTAAAAAATGAATGCTTTATCATATGGAAAAGACTACATTTTACTTCGGTTTCAGAATATTCAACCTGTTCTGGATATATCAATTTTTTGTATTGCTGCAACTTGATTAAACCTGGAGGAACAAGATGACGATTATGAGTCACTATATTTTTAATTTCAGTCCACCCAGTGGGCACGGAAGTAAAAAAAGACGTCTTTTAAACGTCTTATACACGTTTTAGACGTTTTCTGAACGTCTTTTGAACGTTTTGGACGTATTTTAAACGTTTAAAAGACGTCTTTTTTACTTCCGTGCCTACTGGGCATGTTCTATCTGTAAGTTTCAAATTACAAAGAGCTTGCAATGACAAATTTGAACCATATAAAATAGCCCTACCATCAATAGAAGAATTAGATTTAAAGCTTTTGACAGCATGTTGCAGTTCTTCCACCTCTCGTTCTCTAAGACTATCTGTTCTTTTACGCTTCATCCTGTTTGTAAGCTTAATAAAAGACTATCTAGGTTTTAATGTACAAGATGTATTGACTGCAGATGATTTAGGTACTCTACATGGTACACTATAAATAATAAAAAAATACATTAAAACATATATACATTTTGAAGGTTTTGTGAAACATAGTCAAACAATATGTATGTGTGTGTGCAAAATAAAAAGAGGGAGATACATTTATTTATGCATACCTGTTTACATTGGATCCATGAGTACGAAGCAGTAATTCCCCTTCTTTTATTTTACGCTCACCCTGCTTGATGAGTTGATTACCCTGTTTAATCAGATTTTCACCTTTTCTAATTAATAGCAGTTCTTCCTCATGTGTTATAATTTCTTTTTCAGAATCTTTTTCTAATCTACACGCACAAGTATTATATATATATATATGTATATATATATATATATATATATATATATATATATATATATATATATATATATATATATATATATATATATATGTATATGTATATATATATATATATATATATATATATATATATATATATATATATATATGTATGTATATATATATATATATATATATATATATATATATATATATATATATATATATATATATATATATATATGTGTGTGTGTGTGTGTATATATATATATATATATATATATATATATATATATATATATATATATATATATATATATATATATATATATATATATATATATATATATATATATATATATATATATACTATAATGCAATATTTATTACTTATTTATAATAAATCAATATAGAATTATAATAAATATTTATAATAAATCAATATAGAATTATACTCACAAGAGATATTTGCATTGTTGATTTTGATCCAAAAAATGTTTATATTTAGTAAGAAAGAACTTTTTTCTTTTTCCACACTCATTAAATTTTTTTATTAAATTAAAAGCCAGACTTTTGAAAATGTTGAAATTCACAGTGCAATCAGCATAAAGTGATAAAAACTTGGACTGCAAAAATTTAGCACATTCAGATACATTTTTACTCGTGAAAATATGCCTTGGAGGATAATTATCAGCCAGAAGTTTGCTAAGATTAAAAGTAACCATTTTTAAAAAATTCTAAATCACGATGAGAGCCAAACTTAATTTATAACTTAAAGACTAGAAAAGAATGTTCCGCCCGCATCCAGTTTCTTCTTGACAAAAACTAACTAACCGGTTTTTAATAAATCCACCTCTTTTGAATTGATTTTATAGCATGTTACTACAGAGGTAGCAAGAATATTATTTCACTTATAAAAAGTCAATTTGTTTGAGAAAATTAAAAAAAAATAAAAAACTGGCTACCTCTGTAGTAACATGGTCTAATCGATCAATCTTTACAGACACCCAAAAACAATGATCCAAACATTTTTTTTTTTTTCTTGGTTGTTAATTTACGAAATGTATCATTTATTAGAAAATGTGCAAAAAAAAATGAAGAAATTCGAAAATTATCTTATGTAATTTAAAGATTTAGTGAAAACATGGGTTTTTTTACCCAAGAAAATCCCGCACCTGAAAAGGCAAATTTAAAAAAATTAAAAAAAAAACTTTTTTTTATTAACTAATACTAACCTGTTTCAGTTAAAAAATATTTAAAATATTAAAATTGAAATTTTTTTTCTGAAAAGTAAGTAAAATCCTATTTCCGCTTCGCGACGCATAGTGCGCTAATAGACAAGTATTCAAAAATTATAAAGATGATCCGATATATGTTTGCAGTGCCAGATCAAAATGCAACTGAAAACCAATTTACAGATAAAGAAACAGATTAGTGGTGGAGACTATCAAATGATCAATAAATATGGTTTTAAAAAGTAAGAAACGTTAAAAGTAATTTTTTTTTGAAAATGCTTTTATTTTTACTCGGGTAAAAAAGTGCAAGTCCTCCCTTTAAATTATTTTTTTTCAGATTGTGTAACTAAACTTAAAACATAAAAAATATTGTAATCAATGGTATTAGATGTTAAATATATTGTAGGTTATTAAAAGAATTACGTATTTTGTTCTTGATGGTATTTGACATATAATAAGTTAAAGGCATTAGTATAAAAATAAAAAATTGGTATAAAGTGAAATAAAAATGTTTGTTTAAAAGCTTTTAACATTTTCATAAATCACAATGGTGAAAATAATATAGAAATTAACATTCGATTTAATATATAATATTGAAATCTATCATTTAATCTTAATTAAATGTTCTGACATTAATCCACTCAGTCTTGATAAGGAGCCAACACTCTCTCATGACGCCATATCTAGAAAGGATCGTTGAATGTGCTTTCCCTCTTTGATAAGGTGAAAAAACGCATGCTAAACATAGTTGGAACTGGTTTTGCAGCTAACCTTTAACCAATCTCACATTGTTGTAATGTTGCTTCTCTTTCTCTTTTTTATAATTACTAGTGTATTTATAGAAAAGAAAAAGATAATAGAAATTATATAGATAAGAGATGGATTATAGAAAAAAAAGATGGGTGCTGTTCTAAAAACGTACCTTCTCTTGTGCCATCAGTGAAAATTTATTCTAGTGATACTCGTCATTCATTTAAGTCTCATCCTTTAATTAGGAATGTTTCTAGCTCCGAAAATCATTTTTTGTCTAATTTTTTTCCTCAAACGTCAGTTCTTTGGAATTCGCTCTCTTCATCTTGCAATCTTTTAAGTTGTTTGTTAGAAATTAAAAAAAAGTAGTTGCTGCGGTTTTTACTAAAAATATCATTAGACTTGGTTAAAGGAGAAGGTATATCGTTAAAGGTTACAGGAGGAGGTATATAAAGTTAAAATATTTTTATTTTGCATTAATAACTTTAGTAAGAAAAAAATAATAGCTTAATGATAGGTTGAATGTTTATACAAACTAATTTTTGAAGTAAATGCTGTTTACAACAAAATTGTAAGTTATAAAATAATTTTAAATTATAATTTATTATTATTGGATGGTTATTTTATTAAATGATACCCGAATAATATTTATCTTTATTCGTAAAGGTAAGTAAAACCTTAGATTAGGACAAATAACAAATACTTGAGCCAATTTAAAAACAACTAGACACAAGAGTTATATATAACGAGTCTTTAAATAAATGAGTAATGATTTTTTGCAATGTTTCTACTTAAAGATAATATGCATTAAATGAAATTATCTTTTTATCTAATTCTTACATTTAATAAATGTTTTAAATATAGAATTGTGGAAGGTGTCTAATACAGTCACAATAAATAGGTATATTTTCTTTATTTAAATGTGATATTTTTACTATATTATGGATAAAGATTGAAGTAATTCTGTTTAGAATGAAAAAAATATAATGTACTAATAAGTTTTTCTAGTTTAAAATAAACAGTATTTCTATTAAGGTATTATAAGCTAAGATAAGTATCAACAAATAACATAAAACCTAATATTTAAAATCACTACATACTTCACGTCTATGAAACAAAGTAAAACATTTTACGGTGTTCTTTGTAGACACTTATTCATTTTTCATGTAATATTTCCATAGATTTTGTATTTTGTATGCGGTAGTGGTGTAGTGGTAGAGCGCTCGCTTCATAAACGAGTGGTTCCAAGTTCAATCCCCACCACGTCCCTGGTAGTACCGCGCTCAACTCGTTTCTCCGCGCAGCGGCCTTGTTCGTCAAGGTTCGTGTTTCGGAGTTATAGAGTTGAGAGAGGGTTATAGCCACAAATAAGTAGCCTCCTCGTCTGTAGTGGCCTTCTCGGCCTTGAGGAGGTGAATTAAAATAAAAAAAAAAAAAAAAAAATTTATAAAAGATTATATAATAGATTTTGTATTTATAAAAAATATATAATAGAAACGATATAACAATGATTTCCAATTTTATTAATAAAATTTTTCTGATATTTCAATAGATTTCGTTTTTGTACCATTGAGCTTTTTATCTTACTTTTTCCCTTGGAAGTTTACGCTGTAGTATAACATGTTGCAATGTATTTCTCTAGTAATTTTTGCTTTAACTCAATACTTATGAAAGCTGGACCGCTGTTGGTATGGATATAAATTGAAAATTACTAGTATCAATTATTTAATCTACTTCTCCTTATTTTCAAAACAGAGTGGTTCTTTAAAATACAATTTCGAATTAGCCTATTGACTTGTACGAATTAAGTGATTTGTAGTATCTTAGATATACTGCACAATTTGCACTATTCAGTTATTAGTTTAACATCAACTAGGTAAAAGCAGTTTTTAATAAAAGCATAAATTTCAATTACTTCCAGAGTAAAATTGTTTTTTTTCATTGCTAAACAAAAGATGGTTGAAAAGTCTCTGAAACATTTGTTTTACTTTCTCTGTAATTTATGCCATAACTATAACAACTATAACTATAACAACTATAACTATAACAACTATAACACAGTAGCTCAGTTGTCCAACTGTAAATGTTTTGATTATAACTTTATGCTGCTTTTTAAAGTCATATGATATAAATTAATAATCTAAGATAATTTTTAATCTAAGGTAGGTTCTCCAATGTCTGACATCTTGTGTTAATGCATGCTCTTCAATCATTATCTCTTAATTTTCTTTGAAATTGTTATTTTAATAAAAATATTGCATATATTTATATTATTTTTAAAAGCGCATTTATTGATATGTTAACATAACTATTAAAATATATATTTTCAAGTGAAAATCTGCAAGATTTTTTTTCTATTAATTTTTATTTCAATAATATGACTTTTTAATTATTAAGTTTTAATTATATTATCAAGTTTTAAATAACTTAATGTTTTATCTTTTCAGAAATCTTGTGTATTTAAGTCTTCAAATTAGTCCAAATTTTCAAATACCATCAAATGTTAGTGTGGATTTTGAGTATTTGTTATCACCACTTTTTAGTTTTGAATCTAACAATGTTATTCAGGGTTTTGCTAAAACTGATGCAAATCGACTAAAGTATACAGTAATTAATTTAATTTTTTTTACATTAATTTACAGTAAGCATCCAGTTGTTTTACTTTTACTATAGTTTTAAAAAAGTTTAAAAATAAAAAACTTAAAAATGCTTTATATAAGACAAGCTCAAGAAATTAAATTTTTTTTGTTTCACAAAATAAAAAAAGCGAAAAAGGAGCTTCTTTTTATTCTTAATAAGATTAAAGGTTTTTTAATAGAAAAATTCTTAGGGATCCCATCTGACCCTTAAATATTTGATGAGTTTCTTATATAATCCTTAAAGCTTGGAGGTTGCGAATGGTATTTTAAGACTCGAAATTTCTTTTGAGCAACAAATTATGTAATTAACTTAAAGATGTGCTTCGGTTGTTATCATGTTGATATCTCCAACCACGTCATGTGAAAGTATTTTGTCCTTGACTATTCCTTTATACATTAAATTATCTGTAATCCATTATATTCGATAGATTGGACTTACTCCATCACGGCGAAAGCATAACAAAAAAATTACTGAGCTACCACCATGCTCCACTATAGAAAGTTGGTACTTATTATCCTTTTAAAGACCTACTGGACGTAAAACATATATAATACCGTCAGAACGAAACACATTAAACTTTGACTTATCTCTTTATATTATTTTTGACAATTGCTGTTGTATCCAATTTAAAAGTTCTTTAACAAACTTTAAAATTGGATACTATTTTACAATTTTTTGCAGAAACTAAAGGTATTTTAATAGGGCAACGGCTAAAGAGAATGTTTTGTCTTAAGCGAGGGTTTACTTTTCCATAAGAGCTGGAAGTTTGACGTGACTGAGTATATTTTTTATAAATCTCTAATTATTTTGTGTACTTTAACACATATTTGAAGGCAGCCTTTAAACTTGGTGTAATGACGAGAAAATGTAAAAACTCCATTTATAAAGCGTTATGTACAAACGTCTGTAAGTGTAAACGTTTTTAGCACACGTATGTGTTTTGAATATAAAAATAAAATAATTCAAACTACTATGGTTTGTATTTAAAAAATCAGCAAGACTGAAAAAACTTGAAAATTTATTTGCTTGAGGGTGGATAAGAAGCCGCAAAAACATTAGGATTTAGAAAATGAGGAAAACACATTATCGACAATATAATTTAAAAAAAAACAACCTTTTTTATGATTCTTCTACCGAGGTAATGGCGTGAAATAGTCGCATCATTTGCTTTTTTATGCAAATATGCAATCAAAAAGCATATATCAAAACATATATCAAAACATATATTAAAACATATATCAAAATATATATCAAAACATATATCAAATAAAAACATATATCAAAATTTACAGTTTTACTTTTACTTGAAAATTGTAATGCGGCAATAGCTCCTTAATTTTGATCAATAGCTCATTAGTTTTGATCAATAGCTCCTTAGTTTTGATCTATAGCATTTAGGGGCCATCTATAAAGGGCGTTATCTAAAGAGGGGTTTGAGAGGGTATAGAAAAAATGAACAAAAAAAGACAAGGGGAAGGAGGGAGGTTGTCAGAAAAGGACCTTACTTTATAAATTTTTTATTTTAGTTTAATCAACATAAAAAATTGTAAAAAAAATGTAAATCTGTGTTTTTAAGAAGATAATGTATGAGATTATTTTTATTTTTATTTTTCAAAGGTGTAGCAGCAGATTCAAACATCATTGCAAGTTAAAATAATTTTTTTTAGGTGTTAAAATAGGGGGGAAGAGGTCAGAGTTTTATGAGGTCTTTTTCAAAGGGGTATAGAGCGAAAAGACAACCGGTGACAAAGAGGGGGGGAGGGGGAATGGGTCAAAAATTGCCTAAAAAATGGCGACGTCCTTTATGGATGGCCCCTTATTTCCTTTTCATAAAGTCTTTTATTTATTAAACAGTTTTTAGCCAGCGTGACCAAATGGTTATCTTGCAGAGCTTCTGAACAGAAAAGTTATGGTTTGGATCTTACCACTGACAAATTTTTTTTAACCCTTTTAAATTTTTAAAAATACGAAATAAAACACATTTAATGTTTCATAGATATTTTATACATAACATATGTAAAATTCATTATGATAAAGGAAAAGATTTTAATAAAAGCTAAAAATTTTTAAAACATCAAAACACAGCGAAAAATTCGTTGCGCATCTGCCATAAACGAATTGAGATGCTTAAGTTGTTAATGCGCTCAGGTAATTATTCTTAATAATCTGCGGATTGTCTAAAAAAAATGGTCTGAAACTTAATAAAGAATAAATTTAATAAGACAGCCCTGCTTCTCCAGAAGAAGCTGCTGCGGAAGCAAAAAAAATGCCCGTGCTAGAAAAAACTCTAAATCTTATTATAACAATTAAGAGTAATTTTAGCTATATTTATTGTTTTTCGATAAACATTTATATAGCCGGATAAAAAAAATTGAAAGTATATTGTGTTAAGATAGCCTGCCTCCGTGACATTCTGACGGAGGCAGCCTACCGCGAACACCTTGCTGACAAAAGTTGACTTTGCCACAACTTTTGCCAAAACACCTTACAAAAGACTCCTTCACAAGATTGAGGCCTATTGAATTATAGGCCATCTATTCCACTGGATCTCCACTTGGTTAAGTGAAAGAAAACAACGTGTTGTTATTCGGGAACAAACTTTCAAACAAAAAAGAGTAACAAGTGGAGTCCCTCAAGGATCAGTCGATTAAATATTTTAATTACAAAAAAAGACTACAAATACTAGATTAAACACCCTGGAAGAACGCAGAACTTGCAGGGACCTTACACTGCAATACAAAATTACTAATCAGTTACAAGAAGTTGAGTTTTACATACCACAACTACAGCCTTTTTTATTAAATTCACGATATAATCTGAGAAGAAACAGCCAATGTTTAAAAACCACAACTGATCAAAAGAAATTCAAAACGTCAGCACTTCTTTACAAACCGTCTTACTAACCAATGGAACAAATTAGTTCAGAATGTAGTTGATGCACCCACGGTGCACTTTAAAAAAAAACTCATTTAAGATGCTGCTTCGGCTGCAGCAATGTCCATTGTCAGCTAAGAAAAGCCTGGTGTGCTTCCGCTCATCAATTTTAAACTTTATACGTGGAAGTTGTATTACTGTAATAAATAAAATTAAAAAAATTAAGTGGTGGATTTAAAGCCACCCAAAACGGCACTGATGACAATTATAATATAAAATCATAAGTCAAGTTTAACAAACAAATGGTCATGCGGAAAAAATATATGCTATCAAACAAATGCACACTCGGAAATATATATAATAGTGAGACCAACATGTATTGACTATTTAACATGTTTTAGAATGTTCAGTGGCTTCTAAACTTGTCCTTTTTTTTTTTAGCAGACTCTTTTGTGTTTCATACTTATACAACTTTTTTTTGGTCTAGTCAAAATACATATTTAATATAAACATGTATGTGTGAATGTCTATTTAAATGTGTACATAAATATATTTAAATACGAAATTGGATCTATACAGTAGAGGCCATTGAGTTGAGGCACCTAGCAGAATTGCAGTTTTAATTAAGCAAGTCCAGTTTCTCTTTCATGAAATCGTATTATATGTACTATTAGTATTATAATATGTTCTAAAAAATATCTAGCAGCATTACTTTTAAAATTCATCAACAAAAAGTCTCAAAATCTTAGTATTTTGTAGGGTAACCACGATTTTTCAATACAGCCTGTATATGAGAAGGCATACTTTTTACAAGTTTGTCACAGTACTCTGGGGTAATTTCATTTACCCACACCTGCTTCAATACATCTTTTAAATGTTCCTCTGACATTGAACAATGTGCTGACACTTAAGCTTTCATTAAGTTCCAACAATTTTCAATAACGTTCAAATCAGGCGAGTTTGAGGCCCAGTTCTTCAAAAGTTGCACATCGTTGTCATGAAACCACTTCTTGACTGATTTCGCAGAATGAAACGGTGCTGAGTCTTGTTGAAAGATGATAGTTACAGAAATGTTCATATGTGTCTTAACTTTTGACTCTATAACCTGTATATACTTTGCAGCATTGACCTTTTCGCCCTTACCGAAGATGTGGATTCCGCATCTACCCTTAGCTGAGATAGCTCCCCACACCATAACAGATGGCAGATGTTTAACGGTCTTCAGAGTGTATTTAGGGTTGAGTCTTTCACCTACCGGTCGACGAACATAATTGTACCCTAAACCACGAAGCTGCTGGAAAGTACTTTCGTCAGTAAACATTACAGTAGTCCACTACTCAGCAGTTTTGTCCTTCATATCACGACAGAATTTCACACGTGGTTGAAGCTGCTTCTTGGTAAAAAATGGCTTCTTTGCTGCTCAACGCGCATGTAGTTTAAATTCTGTAGACAGACGTCTGCGAACACTTCTGGCACTAATATTAATGCCTCTTTCCGCGGCCATTTGGGTAACTCGGGCAGAGGAAGTGTGAGGACTGGCTTGCACAATACTATTCAGGTATCGATCATCGATACCTAAAAAGTATCGTGTAGTTTTGCAAACGTCATGGTAATTTTGACGTCTAGAACTCCCACGCAATTTTAAAACGTTTTGTACAGCGCATCTCGATATATCTAGACGTTTACAAATGACAATTTGTGAGTACCCTTCACCATGCAAAGTTATGACTTGACCTTTAACAAAATCAATTAAATCTGCCTTTTTACCTATATTTACTTTATTTAATTTATTTACTATTTACTTTTAAAAAAGAACTTTAATAAGCTTTGATGTCATCTTTTAAACAGAGATATGCGAAAATTTTTTATTTGATTCATTTAATGACATTGACATGTTTTTTTTTAAACATTTTTTTGGCTTTAGTTGGCAATAAACAGATACGTCGCTCCCCCTCCTCCTTATTTAAATCTCTTCGGGACGGCCCAGATCAATATTAATACTGTTATTATTTTTGTTATTATTATTGTTATTATTATTGTTACTATTATTATTATTGTTATTATTGTTATTATTATTATTTTTATTTTGATTA